TTATTAAAATTTTATTTTTCTTGATTCTTTAAACTAAAACTGTAGAATATATTTTATTTTAGTATATATATATAAAATTTACTAAATTTAATATATGTATACAAAAAGAGACCAGGTGAGAAATATTTTCAAACACTAATTTTATTCGTTCCTTTATGTTCTTCTGTATTGTTGATCGTTTTTTATAAATACTTTTTTTTATTTCTATGCATAATAGTCAAAGCAATCTGCAAATCTGTAGATCATAAGATTTGCAGATCTATAAAAATCTGCCATCCTGTCTCTCTATAGCACTTTTTCTATCAATCCACTAGTTTATAAAATTCCCATCAACAATACTCATTGACAAAGAATAATGTGCTGAAGCAAGTTGAAATCATATAGCTATATTGTCAAAATAAAAATCTTCTAATATATCTTAAAATTTATTCTGGAGAAAACATTATCATTTAATACTTGCATTAAAATGATATAATATCTATGGAAAAATAATATACAAGTTTTTTGAACTATTGGATTGGGAATCCCAATTTGATGTTGAATATTGCGCACACTAATGTGAGAACAATTGTGGGTCATTGCTAAGACTATTAAAGCGTGTCATTACAATTTCGATAGTCGCAGATCCTGCCTGTACAAATGAAACTTTTTTCAGTTTATTGAATACATATATTTAACATTAATATTTAACAATCTTAGATATATCTCTGTGTATGTGTGTCTAAAACTAAATTATAAAAAATGTTGAAAATGCAAGTTTTGCATCTATAGATTTTTCCGTAATCTCATGTTGTTATCTAATGTAAAATTATCTCTCAGATAATTTGTCATTAGATATAAATATTCCCATTAAGAAATGTTAATTATATACAACCACAAAAAATATTAGTAATTATTTTTAAAAATAAATCATAAATTAATTACCTTAATAATGCTATCATCTTCATCAGCACTATCATCAGCATTAGATGGAACACGTGCGCTTAATCTACTAAAAACCGTTTTTGGCTCCACGTTGGAACTTTGCCATCGTCGTTTGCTTCCAGATAGTTCATTATTCACAAAATCTGTTACAACTCGTCGACGATCTTCTTGTAACGGTCGTTTTTGAGATATTCTAAAGGAAATTGAATTATATCATGAAATTATAATAAAAATATATGCATACATTATATAATATTATCTATACAACTTAAATCTTTGGTACAATCAGTATAATTAATTAATGTAATTAATGTAAATATGATATAAATAATATAAATGTAGCAGAAATATCTTAAAGTAATTTAAATGATGTAAATACAAAAATGTTTGTGATCAATAAAAAAAGTTATACATATTGCACAGAATATTTTATAAGTTTCTAAAAAATATTTAACGCTATCGTAGAGCATTTTAAATATTCTTAATGATTTTATATAAATGCATTTAAAAGATAAATTAAACATTTTTGAATTAAATATAACCTAGGTGGTTGCAGTGAACCACTTTCGCCGTCAGGAAGATCCCGGCCTAGAATTTTACGGATACTGCGATCTAGACCGCGAAGTCCATCGCGAGCAGCTTCCAATTGAGCTTCTAATCTTTCGGCTCCCCATATTTCTGAATCTAATTTCCTCATTTCAAAATTCTGTGTTGTGCACCAATTCAGATATTTAATTCTTTTTAGCAAACTACGCGACAATATTGTCAAACGAAATTACCATAGACACATAAAATATGTAGATGGTGAGTTCTAGCACAGTATATATAATAGTACAACTGGCCATTTTAGCGTTGCCAAAAATGAACTGCACATGCGCGTATTTGATAGGTAACCAATCATGGCAGTGATCTTCGTCTAAGGGTGCAAACTCATGCAGCGGATTAAAGGTCGTATTACACTACGGATTGCGGGCTCGGTTGCGATTGGGGTTACGGTTGATAATTGCGGATTGACCAATCAACTGGCAAGCTGCTTTGCTCTGATTGGTCAAACCGTAATCATCAAACGTAAGGCCGGGTCTACAATAGGTGTAGTAAGCCTTTAGCCCTTAGGGCCACCGCACAAGCTTTTCCGTAATGCATTACGTTACGTTAAGCCCGTTCTACATTGATCGCATGTCGCCAGTCGCAAGCAAATCGACCAATCACAGTCGATTATTCCGTCGAATATTCGACTGTGATTGGTCGATTTGCTTGCGACTGGCGACATGCGATCAATGTAGAACGGGCTTTAAGTACTGATTCTAAACTCGTACATAATCTTAAGGGCCGTCTACAATGGCAGTAACAAGGCTGTAGGAGTAGGAGAGTATACTGTTTTTAGTGATGTTTAGACGGGGAGTAACGAAATGGGCAATTCCCATTTGCTCTTAAAAGTATACTCTCCTACTCCTACAGCCTTGTTACTGCCATTGTAGACTGCCCTTGATATGGGCTTTATGGTTTCTCTCTGATCGGTCGAAACGATTACTTGTTCATATTGCTGCTAGATGGCAGTTTCAAAAGACAATTATAATTCCTCTGTCGGCGTAACATCGTACTAGCCAGTATTGCAATTGGCAACGAGTTAAGTACGAGCGAGACAAGTGATTAAAAAATGGCATCCGCGCCGACGTCGCACAATGAGGTTTCCCAGGAATTCTCTGTCAACAAACTCATACGTGTCGGTTATTACGAACTGGAAAAGACTATTGGCAAGGGAAATTTCGCCGTAGTTAAAATGGCCACCCACGTCGTAACAAAATCTAAGGTAGAAGAATAGCCGTATGAATCTATGTTGCAAACATGAAATCCGTCATTTTGTCGTTAATATCTTCTGGATAACTGTGTGTGTGTGTGTATGTGTGTGTGTGTATACTGCTGTTGTATACTTTGTTTAACATTTTCAGTATAATTACAAAATAAGATCATTTTAATGATTATATTTTATCGTCACACTCATATAGCTAATATTAAAAAAACATACATTTTAATTTATCAATATTAAGAGAGGATATTATGTGTTGCGTTATTTAAAATATGTAATTTATATAAATTTCTTTAATCTTATTATTATAAAAATAACGTCAGCCATTTCAAGTTAAATAAATATAATAATAAATAAATGCAGGAAAAATGTTTTTTCCTTAATTTTAGATTATAGTTTTTATATGTAGAATACACACAGTAAATGTAATTTAAATACAAAATTTAATTTTTGTTTTATTATTAAAATATGTTATCAAAAAGAAAAAGAAAACTTAAGAGATAGATGACTACAAAGATAATATATGTGAGAATGTACATAAGAATATATACATTATATATTCTCAAAATCACAATTAAACTGAGAACTATTAGATAATTTTGTTCAATGTTATCATGACATTATGCTAACACATGCTTGCTTTTATAATTATGTGATATTAATAGCAGTCACATTTACTAGCATCTTTTATACATATTTGCATAAATAAACTTGTATATATATATGTGTATATATGAAAATATAAAAGAATAGCATCTAATCAATCTTGAATATATTTTTAATTTACCAGATAATTTGTTATGATATGTTAAAAACAATGTGTGATGTTTTTAACACGTTCTCTCTCTCTCTCTCTCTCTCTCTCTTTTTTCTCTGCAAATAAATATATTTCTTAACAGATAAAATCTTTTGTATGATTTTTATTAATGTGAATGTTTATATATAGAGGCATACATAGGTATACATATAGAATATCTCAAAATCATTCCATGTCTTTTCTATGCTATATTCTTTGACTAATCTGGATTTGTATTGTCCTTAGCAGAAATAAGAGAAAGTTCATCATTTATTGCAATTTTTCAATTTTTTGTATCATATTTTTGTAATTATATTGTAAGTTTTAAAAAATTGTAAGTTTTAAAAAATTGTAAGTTTTAAGTCAAAATTTTATAGTAAATTTTACATGTGTGTGTATGAAATTGAAAAATGTTTTGTTATCCAAAAAAAAATGAAAATATTCTGCAAATGAAAAATGCTTATTTTATGAAACCCATTTAATACTTGTTTTTTCAAATTTAACATTTGAAACTTAAATGGCTTCGTTTTTTTTGTTGTTTTTTTTTCAATTATTTAAGTAAAAAACATTAGAAAGCACTCAATAAAGAAACTTATTCTAAAAAGTTACACTAACAATTTTCTAATTTTGCCTATAATTTTTAACAAAAGTATCTTAATGGAAGATCAGGGAATTATTTTACAAGATACGAATAGAAAGGGACATCCTGATTGTGATTACAAATTTGCCACAGAATCAGGCATTAGAGAAATATAATGGTTTGAGACTTTAAAGAGACTAGAATTAATAGTTAATAATAATTCGTAGAAACGATAATATACATGATAACAGAAATGATAACATATGCGCGCGCATATGAGATATTGATATATAGATCCTGGAGAAAGTGATTAAAAGTCGTCAAAAAATAGAAAAGTTTCTCATGAGACACAGAGAGAGAGAGAGAGAGAGAGAGAGATCGCTTCTTTATCAATAACAAATAAACTGTAAATGACATAATTGCGACATATTATATGGGACATAATATAAAAATGTCGTTTACGAAAGATAATCGAAAAAATCAATTAAATCAAACAAAAATTTATAATTAAGATAATTTATAGATTTCCTTTATAAATTTTGCTTTTAATCTTATAAAATAAAGTGAAGAATTTCCTCTAGCTGGCAATTTTTGCAAGCTATTATATTCTTTGGAATATTTACATTATATTGATGTTTCATGTTACAATTTGTACTATTAACTTGCTTAACTGTTTTACAGGTTGCTATTAAAATAATAGATAAAACTAAATTAAATGAAGAAAACTTAGCAAAAATTTTTCGTGAAGTGCATATAATGAAAAGGTTACGACATCCACATATTATAAGACTATATCAAGTAATGGAAACGGAAAAAATGATATATTTAGTAACAGAATATGCTCCTGGAGGTGAAATATTTGATCATCTTGTTCGAAATGGTAGAATGCCAGAACCAGAAGCACGAAGAATTTTTCGTCAGATTGTACTTGCCGTTCGTTATCTGCATCAACAAAGGGTGGTTCATCGAGATCTTAAGGTCTTTAGATCTATTATTTATTGTATTATATTAAAATTAACTTAAATTAAAAGTAATCTATGAGTCTCTCTAATTGTTAATAAAAATTATTGTTACCTTGTTTTATGCATATTTACATAATTAACTTTTTGCCTTTTTTCTTTTGTCAGGCTGAAAACTTATTACTTGATGCAGACAATAACATAAAACTTGCTGATTTTGGATTTAGTAACGAATATACACCTGGTGTTCCACTTAATACATGGTGTGGCTCACCACCATATGCTGCACCTGAAATTTTTGAGGGAAAGCATTACGATGGTCCAAGAGCCGATGTATGGGTATGTTATCGCTTTTTTTATATAAATCTTATATTCTAAAAGATATTTTAGTTAAAAATCTAATTATTTTATTTATCAACATAAATACTTTTTTTAGTAATTATATATATTATATAATACAGAATGTTCTATTTCAAATACTCCAACAAAATACCTGAATCAAATAATATTGGAAGAAAAGTTTCGAATAAAAATTGTACAATTTTAAAAGAGATATAATCATAAAACATTCTATTTTCCAAGTAGCAGCGCTTTTACGATTTAAAAAGATTTTAATTTTTTTAAATGTAATTATGATTTTTTTACATGTATTGAATTTTTTAGTCATTCTGAATATGATAAAATTTAAGTAAATTAAAAAAACGATATATGAAGTAATTAGCAAATAAGAGGGTAATTAGAGCGCAAACTTTTTTATTATTTAATTTTATTAACAAATATACATTAAATATGTACGTTACTAATCGTTTTTTGGTTCATCTTCAGCATAGTATATAAAATTAAATTCATGTTTAAAATGAACATGCGCAATATTACGCGGAAAACTCAATGAGTTACCGAATGTAGTATTCCGCGGTATTTTGGCGAGTACATTCCTGCAGCTATTCTAATTGTTATGAGGTGTCGCAGCTTTGTACGGTACTCGTACACGATAGCATTTCTGCTGCGGAAAAATAATTTCCAAACTAATCAGAGACTCTGTTAGTAAAAGGACATTCAGTGGTCCAAGTAATAAACAGGAGTGTATATAGTGGAGGGTAGCATAAGCACAGACACACTTATAGCAATCATTTATTTGTGGCAGAGATACTGATGTATCTGTGTAGAGTATTTGCATATCTTTCGGCCTAGCAACCAATCGTTAGGAAACGATACTTGCGGAATAGAAAAATATGTGAGGTGCAAGTGGCTGAATCAGGAGCCGGACATCTTGTACATATAAAATGTTTCAGAGTTAAAAAAATTACTTTCTCACTTAAAATATAAATTTAGGATCTCAAAACAAATAAAAAAGTTCTTTTAGAGATATGCTTGCAAACATTTCGTTTAAGAGATATTGACATCTAAACATTTTGGAATATATAGGATGTTATAAAATTATTATCAGATTATAATAAATAAATTAATAATGTGTTTTAACTATTTTATTAGTAGGAAACATGAAAATTTGAACATAATTATAAGTTTCCAGTAAACTCTGCATATATGTATTATATATATATAGTTTTTATTTTTTTTTAATATATATAATCTTGTGAATCTCGAGAGAATGCTATCAAAATAGAAGTGGAACAAAATAATGCTGATTTTATAGGATATG